TCGTATCTAGAGGCTAGTATAAAGGTATATATTTGGGGCTGGCTGCTTGTGGGAGCTTGGCACATCTGAAATCAGTGCAGCAAGACTGCAGGGAGTCTTTTCTAAAATCTCACTTTCTTTTTTAAAAATCTGAATTTTTGCTCTTAAGGCCTTTCAGTTGATAAGACTCGCCCCATTATGGAGGGGATTCTTCAAGTCAGCTGATTGTGGATGTTAATTTGTCTACCACATTGTTTCACAGAAACACCTACTATAGTGTCTGATTAAGTAGCTGGGTGCTTGCAGTCTTAGCCAGGTTGGTGCATAAAGTTCAGTAGCAGAGCTGGGCATGGTTGAGCATGTTGGCAGTGGGGAGGACCCCTTGAGCTCAGAAGTTCCAGACTGGCCTGGGCAACCCTGAGGCTGAGTCTGAAAACGACAGACAGACAGACAGACAGACAGACAGACAGACAGACACACACACACACACACACACACACACATACACACATACAACTTGGTGGCACAGTAGCATTCTGAGCCATATGTTGAAGAGGTTCTGGGGCAAGGACTTTCAGACATAAAAAAGTCTCCACCAACAGTTTATGCACACACTGATTGAAACATATGCTCCTGTCCATTCATGATCAATTTGTTTGTTTAGGTTTTTGAAAAGAGAGTCGCTTTGTAGTGTAGTTCGTGCTGCCCTCACACCTGGAACTCAGTGGCGAACCTGCTGCCTCAGCCTCCCGAGTGCTGAGATTACAGGCATGAGTTACCCTGCCCCATTGGTCTTTTTTAAAATGCTGATTAGGACCCCTCAAAATGAATGCCCATCCGTCTAACTAGCAATTTGAAAACACAGCCCTGGAGGAGTGCTGGTGTTGTAGGTGTGTGCCCTTGTGTCTGCTGCATGAGGTGTGGTGAAGAAGGTGTGCTAGTTCTGTGACGGAGCACAGCCGAGGAGGGGGTTCCTAGGCCTTTGTTTGGTGACTGTCACTATCTCTTTATGAAAAGCTGCTTACTTTTCCAGAGTGGCTTCACCATTTTGCATTCATTCCAGCGATGCATGGGCGTTGCAGTGCTATTCCTTCTTGCTTTTTGTTTTAGACATCCTGGTACGTTGCCTACGTGTCTTAGGTGTTGGGATAGGTGCATTGTGGCTTTTCGTTGTGTCTTTCATTCCTTTTCAATACTGAGCAGTGATGTTAGTAGCTTTTCATGGGATAGCCCACCACATACCATATTTTGGTGAAGTGACCAAATCTGTGGCCTGGTTTTGTTTTGTTTACAAATTAGATTATTTCAAGGTTGAATGTTCTTTATTCTGGATGCAAGTCCTTTGTTGGATGTGTGATACACGAATGTTTCTCACAGTTTGAAGTGTATCTTAGCTTACCGTTTTTTTTCTGGTATAGGGATGGAACTCGACCTCACACTTGCCAGGCAGGCACTTATGCCATTGAGCTAAATCCCCAGTCCCCTTACCATTGTCTGTGGTTTATGCTCTTAGTGACATATCTAAGAACACGTTTCCTAAACCAGGTTAACAAGACTTTTCACCTGTGTGTTTTTCTAAAAATTTTGAATTTTATGTACAAGATGCATTTTTAATTAAAATTTCGAATTGTGAGGCAGATTGAGGTTCTTTCTTTGCATATAGAGGTCAGTTATCCAGATACTTTTTTGTCTTCTTGAGACAGGGTCTTACTGTGCAGTTCAGGCTGACCTTGAACTCATTTTGTAGCCCAGGCTTCTCTTGAATTTGCAACAATTCTCCTGCCTCAGCCTCTCAAGTGTTTTGGTTATTGGCGTGTGCCACCACGCCTGGCAGGCACCATTTGTTGAAGAGGAATCTTCACTGAATTGTTGTAGCACCTTTGATTTGTTTTTGTTGTTGTTTTAATTTTTTTGAGAGTCAGGATCTCATTGTGTGGTTCAGGCTTGCTTTGAATTCACCCTGCCCAGGCTGGCCTTGAACTTGTAGTGATCCTCTGCCTCAGCCTCCCAAGGGCTGGGATTGCACCGGGTGCCCTCCCCCCAGCTCCTTTGACCTTTGTTGCATAGCAGCATGGCCATATTTATGTGGGTCTGTTTCTGAAGTGTCTTTTGTTCCTTGGATCTGTGGCTATATATTTCTTTGCCAATACTGTACCTAACTGTGCCTTTATGTAGTAAGCCTTAAAACAGGTGAGTCTTTCCAAAATGTCTGTTCTTCCTGGTCTTTGGGCTTCACCTCTAGTTATCTATCTGTGCTTTTGTGTATTTATATCAGTATAGACTTAGGTTGCTGCTTTAATAGCATTTACTTTCTTGCTCAGATCCTCTGGATTGAACATGTAGGGGGTAAAGTCTGTTGTTCTTTGGACATTCTTTTTCTTTCTGGCAAAACAAAATATTCAGAGCTCATTTGGTAATATTGTTGCCCCAGCCCTGGAATATAGCATTTCTTTTAGGAGTCTCACTTTACTTTATTGTAGAGTGGTGGTTAGTAACTCTGTCTGGGAGCTCTGAACTTGCAGCGACTGGATTGTCTGTATTCCAGCGGCCTCTACGGTAGGCAGACATGTGAAGTAAGCATGTGCATTCCTGTACGTGTATACTGCAGTCCTGCTGCGGGTGCAGAGTGCGAATTCAATTCCCTTTAGTTCCTGGCCAGCCTTGTACAATTCTTTCTAAATGTCTTACCCCTTTCATTCTGTAACTCTCACTCAGCATAACTATTTTGAGATTTATTCTTCTAGTTTTTAGTTCGTTTTTCTTTTATATTGCTGAGGTATATTCTGTTGCTTGGACATGCTAAACTTTAGGAAACGGTGACTTTTCCCCCAAAGTGATAATACCGTTTTATATTCCTGTCAGCTGTCCAGAGTTCCACTTCCACCAGACTTCAGTATTGTCAATGTCTTCAATTTTTATACTCTCTTGTAGATAAGTTACAGAGTTTTAGCAGCTTCAGATCCCCTTTCCCTAATGACAAATGTCTTTTCGTGAGTTTATTTGCAAATTTTTTTTTGATGATGTGTTTGTCTTCTTCGGAATTTATGTGACATTTTATTGTCCAAGCATGAGTATTAGGGAGTATGTAATTCCCAATGTGGTAGATGTCAGGTGTGCTGAGTTTGTCTTCCCTGAAATCGAAGAATGAATTCTGAGGAACAGTGGAGGTTAAGAGTAGGAAAAATTGGGCCAGTGGGGTAGCTCAGTAGTACAGACCTGCCTGCCAAGCACAAGGTCCTGAGTTTGATTCTTGTAGCAAAAAAAAAAGTGGGACAAATTTATTGAGAAAGACGGCTCGTAAGAGACAGGAGGGGACTCAAAAGTGGGTTGCCATGGATCCCACTTCTCTAAAAAGATTTTGTAGAGCAAAATCTTGAGGCAGACACAACGTTATTAGATGGGTACAACATGGATCAAAACTATGATCAACCAGTAAGATGACAAGTATAGCTACTTAGAATTTATTGATCTAGTGGGGAGCAGGTCACAGAGCAAGGGTACATAGAAAGAACAGACATTTTTAGGAAGGGATGGGTCAGGAGCTCCTGGTCACCCTTGGGGATGACTGATGTCTATCTGGATTTTATTATACCAGGTGATACCAATTACAGCTCTGGGAGACATGAAGCTCCTCATTCCATCTTTATCTCAGGTCCTGTGTTCCAATAGATGCGCCTCCAGCCGAGCTGTGATGTGCGCCGTCTTCTGTGCCGACTCCCTCAAGGGCCCAGCCCCACCTGACTGCCTACAGTAATTCTGCCCAATTTAGCGTCTATAATATCAGGAGTGGGACCTTTTGGGGTGAGGAAGGGAGGGACTTTGTGGGGGAGTTAATGCTATCCAGGTTTTTGGGGAGTAGACTGTATCTGTAGACTTTGTTTTTAGATAGGTAAAAATTATTAATATTTTTATACAAGTCTGGACTATAGAAAAGATATGCTCAAAGGCATCCCCCTGCCACCAATTTTAGGGGTCACATTCCTGCCCCCTCATCCTTTATAGTTTGTTCTTATCTAACACATAAATTCAATTTGCCAGATTGTGAATTTCCTGAAATCATTTAAAATGTGGGAAGGATTATGTTTTATATCTGTCTTTTCCTTTTTCTTGTTGAGTGGTATCCATACCTTTCATCACATTTTCAGAGGAGTTTATTTAAGGAAGGAATAAAAAGGGCCACAAGTGCCTTTAGAATAATTGTGCTTAACCCCTAGAAGTTTTGGTTGGTGAAGCTCTTGAGTCTTTAGTTACCTTTCAAAGATGCCATCTTAATCAGGTGCAGAGGTGCATACTTAGGATTCCCAGCTGCTAGGGAGGCTGAGGCTGGAGGATCACAAGCTTGAGGTCAGCATGAGCAGTACAGCAAGGGTGGAAACCAACCCCCCCCCGACCCATTTCAAATGTTTCTATTGAAATGCATGATGCTTGCTGTGAATCCAGTTGTAAATATTAACATGGGTATGGGTAAACCTGTTGACCTATTGTTAAGAATTTTAAAATGCATTTATTGTTATTATTATTACTTTTTTTTTTTAGTACCAGGGATCGAAATCAAACTCATGACCTTGTGCTTGCCAGGCAGACACTTACGCTGCCGAGCTAAATCCCCAGCCCTAAAAATGCATTTTAGAAGATCATTTTTCTGATTAAACTTTTTAATGGTTATTCTTTAATAAGGCTGTTGAAAGAATTCTTGGATCCCTGTTGTCAAGACGTTAACTTGGTAGAGACTATGAGGGCGTCATCCTTGGGGCACTGGGACTGTGCCTACAAGAGCCCTCTGTGCCCGGTAGGCCCTCACCCAGCAGCTGGCAGTGAGTCACACCCGTGTTGCATTGAACTGTGTGTTCTGTAAATCACAGGCCAACAGCAGTCCTGGAGGCAGGCCTGCTGCGGTGCCCGGGCAGCTTTGGTGAAAGGGTAAGGTCTCTAGTCAGAGGCTTACAGGACCGGAATCTTGCTGTTACTCTTTCCTGCTGTGTCTGCTAAATTGTAATAAGGACTTTCTTTTCTTTCCCAAGCCAAACTCGCAAGGCGCAGTCAGGAACGAGACAATCTCGGCATGTTGGTCTGGTCGCCCAATCAGAACCTGTCGGAGGCAAAACGTAAGTCCTGGAGCACCTCATTCCTACCTTGCACTGCAAAGTTAGAATCCCCACGCAGGCCTCGTTCTCTCATACTGTCTTTTACAGTCATCTGAAGTCTGAAAGTGTGCGCTTCACAACAGTGGGCTGTCGCTTGAAAGATGCCTAACCTGTGGCTTCCTCACTTCCTGTGCCCCCAAACGCTGTGTGCCACCCAGTCTAGGAGAATGGCCCCGAGTGGAGGGAGAGCTGCGTGCAGGGTGCAGCGTTGCTAACTGGGAGTTTACAGATCACCAAAAAGAAGAGTTGAGCAGATTATCATTTCAAGGCTTACACAGGGTAGAGGTGTTCTTGGGAATAGACTTCATTATGTGAGACTTGAGCCTGGCGGAAGCAAAGCATTTGATTTGGGTATAGACAGTATTCGAGATTTTATTAGGCAAATGCTGTGACCTGAATTGCTTTGGGCTTTCTTGTTTTCAGGGTAGGGGTTCTATGACTGTTGATGATATTAATTGCTTCTGTGCCTGCTGCTCATGATGTCTTATAAAGGTAATTTTATAGCTGCTGTATTACCCTAACCAAGTCCTTGGCATTTTCAAAGTCCTTATTTCCTTTATTACTTGAGAGTAAGTAGCTGCTGTCTCCCTGTCCTTGGCATTTACAGAGTCCTTATTTCCTTCATTGATTGAGCGTGGATAGATCCTCCCTTTGCCAGTTTATTAGTGGTGGCCTATGGATGGAATTTGCAGGGTGTGTTAACTCTGAAATCACATGCAGGATTTTGCAAGGTTTGGGTTTTTTTTAAATTTTTAAGAAAAATACCTTGAAGTGTTTTTTTTTTTTTTTTGTCTTTTTGAGACAGTCTTGCAGCGCAGTTCAGTCTGGCCTTGAGCTCACTTTGTAGCACAGGCTGGTCTTAAATTTGCAATGATCCTCCTGCTTCAGCATCCTGAGTGTTGAGTTTACAGGTGTGCACCTCCACATCCTGCCTAAGACCTTGAATTTTTCTTTTTTTTTTTTGAAAGACCTGAATTCTTTTTTTTATATTTGGTACCAGGGATTGAACTCATGACACATTTTCCAGGAAGGCACTTATACCACTGAGCTAAAGTCCCAGCCCCAAGACCTTGAATTTTTTTTTTTTTTTTTGTCTTTTTCGTTTTTACTGGTACCAGGGATCGAACTCACGACTGCCTGCTTGCAAGGCAGGCACTTATGCCGCTGAGCTAAATCCCCAGCCCCAAGACCTTGAATTCTTAAAGAGCTATTTGACAAGTATGTAGCCTAAGAATCATTATTCTGAAGGCTGTAGTGTTTAGAAGTATATCCATAATGTTTTTAAGGAGTCTGGTACATCATTAAAAGCTGGAACTCTTCAGCTTTAATCAGCATTTCCCAGATTGTTTTGCACTATTAAAATAGGTGTTAACAGTTTCTAGTGCCAATCAGTGTTAGGGATCCCTTGTAGTATGTATCATCCTGTTGAATGTTCAACACCTATGTTAGCATATGTAAATTAGTAAGAGCTCGTACATAAGCACATTTAATTTTGACCCAGAGGGATCCCTTTAATTTTTCTACAGTGCCTGCCACAGAGCATAAGAAATTCAACTTTAGCAATGTTAAATTTAGCAATAATAAAATATTCTTTTTAGTATTATGTTTTTTAATTTCTTAATTTCACCACCATCCTATTTTTTTTAATTTTTAAAACTTTATATATATATATATATATATATTTTTTTTTTTTTTGTACCAGGGATCAAACTTATGACCTTGCACTTACTAGGCAGGCACTTAAACCACTGAGCTAAATCCTGGTCATTCTGCTGTTTTATGTGTTTATAAGAAAAGCATACATGGCTTGTACCCCAGCACTGCAGCTAAGACAGAAGGATCCCAAATTCCAGTCCAGTCTGGGCAATTTAGTGATTCATCGAGATACTGTCTCACAAAATAAAAAAGGGTTGTTGGGTGTGGTGAGGCACACCTGTAATCCCAGCACTGGGGAAATCAGGCAGGAGGATCACTTGAAGTTTGAGGCCAGCTTGGGCCACAAAGTGGGCTCAAGGCCAGCCTGAACTGCATAGCAAGACCTTGTGTCTAAATAAATAAATGAATAAAATTTAAAAGACTGGGAATGTGGCTCCAGTCAAAGGCCTTGGGATTGATCTCTGCGGTCACACTACAGAGCAGATTAGCAGAAGAGCAGCATTGCTGCTCTTGATACCTTTGTTGTGCTTGGGCAGATCTTTCTGAGTATTTCCTGGTTCTTTCATTTTGCTTTTTCTCCTCCTTGAGCACTGGCGGTGACTTACAAAAGCAGCCAGCCATTTTTGAGCAGGTTGTCCTTTTCATAGAGAGAACTGAAAATCTGCCTCCCGGGATCTGTAAAATGTTGTTTTTGAGCTCTGCTGAATAAGTCTCTTCTGTCTGACTCCTAGTCTGTCATCTGTCCCCTCTGCTGCTTTTTTGGATTTGGGGTTCTGTGTGCACCTCTGTGCCCTCCTGGATAGACGCTATTTGGTCACAATGCCAATTTCTGGTTGTGGTACCCAGAACTGCGTACCGGGGGAACATAAGAACATTCGCTGAGTGGGGTGCCAAAGCGCAGCATGTTCTCCTGGGCCCGCAGCCTGTAGTTGCCATGGCAACAGGGGTGGAGGGACTCTGTCCCCACTGTACAGATGGCTTTCTCCAGGTCCAGGAGGTGCTGCACTCACATGGGCTGCACATGGGGAGCGTGTGGTGGTGTCTGGTGTCCTTACACCCGAAGCTCCCTCTTGGAGAGACTGAGTCCTCTCTCTGCATTACCATGGTGGCAGGATGGCACGGACAGGGCAAGACTGCATTTTTCTCTCTTGTCTGTTTGTCTTACTTAGTGGAGTCTTTCTGGCTGACCAGGCTGACCTCAAATTCAGAGTGATCCTCTTGTCTCAGCCTCCCGAGTGCTGGGATTACAAGCATGGGCCACCATGCCCGGCCCTACGAGTAGGACTCTTGGGAGTAAGATTTTAACTTTAATATTTTATTTTTCTTAGAGCTAGAAGAAAAGAACAGAAAAATAGTTAATATTTTAAGCAGTAGTTTTTCTATAAGTTTGCAGTTTTATTGGAAGCCCTATTAATTAAAATTTTGAAAACTAATTGAAAAGTAACATTTATATGCTGTTGAAAGTTTAAAAGACATACAAAAAATAAGGAAGAAATGGACCCATTTTCCTATCACTCCAGGACACTGGTAAATGCCATGTAGAGTTTGTACCAGTCGTTTTCTCCTGCGCATATTTGCGTCAGTGAGGTGGCAGCGCTGTCCTGAACACTGCTTGGCGTTTTCTGCGTTAAAGCAGCTGTATGCATTCTAAGTAACTGCGCGGTATTCCGTGGAATGGGTGAGTTAGCACATTAAACCATTCCTCTGTTCAAAATTTAGGTTGCTTCTGACTTGTTGCTATTGTAAGGAAAGGCTGCAGTGAAAAACTGAGTCCCAGAGCCTGGCCCTTTTTGTTTGATTTTAGTATTTTCTTGCATTACATTCCTAAGAACAGTGTGGTGGTTTGGGAGGGATGAGTCTCACTGCCGGGAGCAAGGATGCGCAGTAATGGGCCTCTTGGCGTGAGAGAAGTCTCTCCGAGGGAGTGTGGGGACGGGGATGAGTGCGGGGACAGGAACGGAGCTCCTTGGCTGGTGGTCTCCCTGTTAGGCTTTCTGACGCAGTCACAGCCCAGTCACAGCGCAGCTTCCTGACGCATGACAGTGTGAACGTTAACACGTCTTGTAGCATTTCTTCACCCTCCATTCCCCCCCCCCTTCCACAGTAAACAGGAGAAAAGAAGTCTCTTCTTAGCTTTCTTCTTCATTTTAAAGGAATCTAAAAGTCTCGGTTTCGTCATCAGTTTGGATTTTAGGTAGAAATATATGGGGGCACATACAGATTTTAACAGTTCTCCAGAAATTCTGTCTGTAGACCCCGACCTTCTCTTCTTGGTTTGTTTCTTCTCACAGTGGCTATTGAGATTCTGCCTCATAGGATTATGTGTGGTTCTTACAAAAATAAGTTAATGTTTATTTTGTGCTTATCAAGATAAATTCTGTTGTACAAAATTCAAATAGTATGTATAATGTAGCTAGCAAGAGCCCTCCCAGGCACGTCATTTATAATGCATGTGTTTCTTCTATGACTTCCTCATCATCTTACTCCTAAAAATATGTCCAGGAGTTTGTTAGTCAGCACATACACAGTTCCCTGAATCTTTACTTCACCAAACTAAGGTTGGCATTTGTTTCAGTTACTTTCCTGTTACTGAGAAAAATAGCCCACACCCACGGATGAAGGAGGAAAGATTTACTGTAGCTCAGTTTGTAGAGGTTTCAGCTCATTGTCAGCTGGCTCCAAGGTGGGGTGGCACGGCACGGCACGGCATGGCAGAAGAGGAGAAGTGGTCCGTGGCACACAGAAGCAGTGACGCAGAGACGTAGCAAAGAACAGCAATGGCAAGTAGTGACGCCGGCCCTCTTGCAATCCCTTCGTCCTCTCCAGGATGAGCAGCGGCACTCACAGCAGGCAGTTGCACCCTTAGTCCTACCCAGAACCATGCCAAAACAGTCACACCCCACAGATCCGGCTCCCTCTGAAAAGGCCCGCCCGTGACCACATGAGGTGTTGGGGAGACATCTAGATACAAGCCATAAGAGTGTCATAATTCAGTCTTTTAAAAAAAGGCCTGCCTGTTGATGGATATGAGTCACACGGTGTTTTAACAAACCTTTTAATAAAGCTATAGTAAACATTCTTCCTTATAGTCATATGTAGCAAAATGATATGTCTGATAACACATGTATGGTGAGCTCGTAAGACTGTAAAAGAACTGGGGCTGTAGCTCAGTGGTAAAGTCTAGCATGTGTGAAGCCCTGGCTTCAGTTCAGAATAACACGCCGCAAAAGGAGAATGTGTGTATATGAATAATTGAAATAAGATTTGAAAAAGCATAATGGAGTATAATGTGTTGCTCCTGATGC